ATTCATTTCTTACTTCAATATACATTTAATCGCTTTAAGATACATTAAATTACTGAGTTAGGCAAAGCCACCCTTTGGCTAGAGTAGGCTCCATCCCAGTGCAATATTCTACTAAACTTTTATAATTGATCATTTTTCCCTCTCACTTTAACTTCCTTCTTAAATTCAAACAAAAAGTATACGTTGAACTAGCGGAAGAGAAGAAAAAGAAAAAAAAATGTTGTCCATACTAGCTTGTCCAACAAACACATACATATAACATACAACAAAAATAAGAAACGAACATGCGATGTAAATATGTGCTACATAAACTACTTAAGTTCAATCTTAATATAATGAGAATACCTTGAAGACTCAAACAATTAACTCAAAAGCTCAACAAACACAAACAATCTATCTTAAAGAGAAATGCTAAGGAGACAAAAAATTTAAACCAAATGATGTGGTTGTTGATGATTGGATTATTACTTAAGTGCGGATTAACGTTCTTATTTCTTATTGATGACACACCATTTAGTTTGCAAATTTAGTTTAAAATTTTGGTCTTCCTAGTATTATTCTATCTTAATACATAAGGCATTAAAATTATGGAGTATGATTTTCTCCCCTACCAATCTCTCTCCCCTTCCATTCCCTCTTATTTAAACGGTTTACGATTAAACCATGTTAACATCTTATATTGATTTTTATAAAGAGAGAAAGATAAAAAAGAAATGTGAAAGGAAGCGAGAAAGAGAGAGAATTAGGGGATAAGAGAATCATATTCCTAAAATTATATGTCCCTGTCGATTACAGCACGTTAACATGTAAGAACATGATAGTGTTCCTTTTTATGGGTGATTGATTTGCTATCCAACTATAGTGAAGTTTTTGTCTTACTGATCCAAGGGCTAAGGGTTGAGACTCGTTCAAATCTAGCTTAACCTGGATTTTGGTATACACCATTGATGGCAATTTAACTAATTAACTAGTTACGTTCAGAAAAGAATCCTCACCTGATCCTCTTCTTAGGGATCCTAGGAATTCTATGATCGTGACCGTTCATCGTACATCATGCGGTCAGAAATTATTTTTAAATTTTAAATTAAATATAAATAGTACATAACGAAAATTGACCGCACGATGTACGATGAACGATTACGATCACGAGATTCCTAAGATCCTCATAAAAATGATCCGACCAGGATCCTTTTTTATATTCAAGCTTGTTTAATATTTTATTAAGTATTTTATTGGCCCACAAAACAGACAAGCCAAGCTAAAGTCCTGCTCCTGCATGGGATCATGTACTTAGCAAAATTGTGGGACAAAATTAACTGCATGTCATGTCTATATCTAGAATGGTATGCAATCTCAGTCGCAGTAAATGAAGGGACCCTCATTACACATAATAATCAAGGACTTCTCATGGCACGTATTATTCAATCTCATACGTACAATATTATTGAGGTGTTTTTTCTTTTCGCTGGGGAAAGTTATTTAGGTGTTTTGCTTACTTTCCTATCAATATTTACTTCAGTTTTTTATCCCCATAGAGTTTCGTGTATATAATTCGAAATGTTCATATTATAAATCATTTTGTAAAGATTATTTGTTTAAATCAAATCCCTTTTATTCCATAGAATTTCGTGTATATAATTCGAAATGTTCATATTATAAATCATTTTGTAAAGATTATTAATAATTCAATTCCCTTCCCTTCATTCACCAATAAGTTTCAATCCATTCCTGTCTTTAATTACTCGTGACCATTGATCAATTCAAGAGAAAGAGACTCCATGAATTGATCAATGACCATGAGTAATTAAAGACAAGACTCCATGAATTGCAGATATTCTTTTGGAAGTTTCAACAATCATACCTTGGGTTCAGCTTGCATGATCATGACATGTATGTTGTAACTTGTAACTGTGACAAAATGTCGGTTTGTTAAATCGTTGAGTCTGTATCAGCATTCAAACAAATATCGTGAAAACTGAGAAGCTAGACTAAATTAATTTGTCAAATACTAGCATTACGGTTTAGTCTTCTCGATTTGCAAGTGCAAGTTATTTTCTTGTGGTTTTTCTTTGAGCTTGAAGCATTGTACTTTTTTTTATGCGAAGTTTTATGTTGTCATTCTTACTGTGGAATTGGCTTACCCGCGAGATTAACAAAATTTATGTCTTGAAAGTTACTCTTCTATAGCGTGATATCTTGTTTTGCTTCTGGTTCTTTTTCTCCTCCTTGGTCGCTCCAGACATGTATTTCTCAATTACAAAACATGATATTTCATTGCTCTTATACATTTCGAGAAGAGAATGCAATTGCTGACAAATTAGCCAATTTAGGACTTCTTTCATCTTCACTTGTCTGCATGCCGCTCCTCCAATAAAGATTCTTTCTTTTCTGCATTTAAATTTCTTGTGCATGTCATCCTACAAGTTTGTCTGCACTTCTTAATGTGTAGTTTTCTTTTTTACCTAATCTTTTTTTATTTTCTTTTTTTTGCTTTGCGGCTTGTCTTGCAGGTTCTTATCCTTTAGGTTTTATTTTAGAGGGGTTTGGTCCTTTGCCCACGCCTTCTTTTCCTTGTATTTTCTTTTTCAAGAGAGGTAAAGTCTATGTCCCCCTCTTTTTCCTGTATTTTCTTTTTCAAGAGGGGTAAGGTGTATGTCTCCCCCCCCCCTCTTTTATTGTATTTTGTTTTCTTGCTTTATGAGGGGTAAGGTTTATGTTTCCCCTGACTAGGTGTAACTTCTTTTTTTATATTAATAAATTTCTTTCGCACCGTCGAATTTTTAAAATAAAATAAAATAAATGACGTGATCGATGTTTAATTTTGCGATTTAGCCAAAATTCTGATCATGAATTATGATAGAGTAGACAATTTTTATAAGAGGTTAAATTGTTTGCGCCACGTTGTTGCCACTCTTTCATACGATTGTTTTTTCAATGGAACCTAAACTCTAAACTTTTTTCATTCTGGGATGTGAGTAAAAAGAAGGGATAGGTCCAATATATTAGGGGTGGGCAAACGGGTAGAGGACCCGTGGGTTAGGGTAGGTAATCACGGTTCGGGGTGGGTCCAATTTCTTTTTTAGAATAAACAGGGCAAGGCGGGGTAGGGCGGGGCAGTGATATATACGAAGTAGGGTTGGTCCAAATATTCAAACCCACTAGGCCCAGGATAGGCCCATTTCTATAATGCAATGGATGGGCACTGCTAGGGGAATATAAAATTGGCTAATTATAAAAGTTCATGCGGGGTAACAGACTAAAATTGAAGTTTAGGGGGAAGATTGGCCAATTATAAAAAGTTCAAGCCGATAATTAGCTAAAATTAAAGTTAAGGGAGAAGATTGGCCAATTATAAAAGTTCTGAGTAATTGGCTAAAATTAAAGTTCATGAAAAAAACTAGCTTCTCCTTAAAGCATTTCCAGCGTGCTCTTTAGCCCGGTGGATAAGGAGCAAATCCAATCCAGTTGCCTCCCAAACTAGCTCTAGCCCATTTGGGCAATTGGGTTAAGGGGGAGCCCATGGGAAAGGGCAGGCGAGAGTCCAAGGCCTGAGTGCCTAAAGGTTTTGTGATGTAAAGCTAACGTCAGCATGATGTAAACCGCGTTATAAAAAAATTTACATCAAGGGCGTGCACCACATGCGTGCGTGGGGGCGCGTCACCGACACATTTTCATATGCTAGGACCCGCATGTCAGCCCCACTCAATTACCTTTGAATCTGGACCGTTTATTTCCAGATCAACGATCCAGGTTTTTAGGCTTTAAAAATTTTAAAAATATATAAAAAACGAGAAATGTTATGGTGGACCATGTGTCACATTCTGGACTATTGGATTTCAAATTTTTTTTTGTAATCCAACGGTCCAGATTAATTAAGTTAATAAATTATTATTTTTTAAATATTAAAAGATCCAAAAAAAAATTTAAAAATTATAATTTTTTTTTCTATAATTACCTTATCATTTTCTCCCACTTTACACCATATTTCAATATTTTTAACGATTCTAAACAATTAAGAACATGTCGTGCGACGGAATTGCTTAAAAATATTATCGTAATCTATCTACAAAAATTTTACTTTCGGATAATGACACATGGCGTGACGAAATTGATTGAAAATCCTATTCGAAATTTAAAATTATTTTTATTAATTTATAAAATAAAAAATACTAATATTTTATTGCCTATTACCATGACTATTCAATTTAGGAGTGGAGATGCAAAAGGCAATTACTGTTCATTAAAGGCAATTATTATTCAGTATAGGGGATTCGATTGCCAATTACCATGGGAGGCCTTCCTATACTGGAAGTGCTCTTACAAGTTCGAGAAGTAAATAAAAAAATACCTCAAAACTATATAAAAGCACATACAAATTTGCAGTTAGTCAAGTTTTTTCTAATAGTCAATCATTTTCTAAATTGTACAAAAATTGGTTCATTACATATGGGATCGATGGTGGGATTCAACCCAGTTCAAGTGGTGAGGTTGTCAATGTAGACTAGAATTCTATAGCAGCAAACGCGCACCCAATGTGAAAAGTATCTCGGTTGCAGCCTCTGTATACTTCTTGTATGATCCTATTTTGGTCTACGTATTAGACCTTCATGATGTGCAATCCTTTTTTTATTTTTTTTAAAGGACCAACTAAGGGCTTCGCTACAGCAATTCATTCTTTCTAGGATCGGGAAGACTCACAGATGCATGATATACATATATATGTACTGAAACAAGAGAAAAAAAAAGAAAATTTCTTCAATTTGAACAAAATTTAAAAGTTGTCATTCATTTCTTACTTCAATATACGTTTCATCGCTTTAACATACAATAAATTATTGAGTTAGGCAAAGCCACCATTCGGCTAGAGTAGGCTCCATCCCAGTGCTCTTGGTTAACTGAGAGTTCAACTGTTTTGTATTTAGACTCAAATGTAAGATTTGAGTCCAAAATTTTCGATAGTTTTTATAGATGACATGAGGAAATACTAGAAAATAAAACAATTCAATCTGGACAAATTTTCTTCAAAATGAATAATTGCTAATACATATTTCACCAAATTGGAAACTCACAAATCAAAACATACACATCAAAACATTTATCACATTACAGAATCACAGTGATCCTCCAAAAGAATAAGCTCTATTTTATGTACAATGCTCTCTCAAACAAACAATTTACTTGAATTGCAACCTTTTGCGGTTCAACTCTTTCTCTCAGAAGGTGGAGCACTTCTTGGCCTTGTACCGGTACAGAACCCTCTTCTTCTTGCTCGATTTGTTCTCGATTGTCAGGACAACCTTCCCGGGTTCGTTGCTTCGGAAAGTGTTGCGAATTGGGCCTTCGTTAGACCCCATTTTCTTCTTCTTCTGAACAATAATGGTGTACGACCCCTCATCAATTGGAACAAACTCCTCCTTGTAATTCACTTCCCATCCCAAAACAGTCAAGTCCCACAGTATTGTGCTACCAACCTGCTATCAAACACCATTAAAATCATCGATTTAGAGAAAAACTCATGAGGAAAAACAATCTAACAAAACATAAATCGGTTAACATTTTATTAGTAGTACCTCTGCTGCATCAATTTGTATGGTTCCAGTGGATCCAGCCGTAAGAATAAGTTCTGAAACAGCGCCATCTTCGGCAGAGAACTCGTTGTCGTTGTCCCTCTTGAAACCGCCATACTGAGCAGGTATCTCCTGAGCTGGAATGTACCTGTTGTGGACAATCACAGCTCATTTGTGTAAGCGTCAGATAATATCAAAACATTCCCCTATACCAACCATATACATTGCCTTTTAAGTGGCTCAGATACACCGTCAAGTTCTCTTAGATATTTTAGCGCACATCGTGCCATTTAAATTCAGCAACGTATAAAAAGTGAGGGAAATCACTTACTTGAGAAGGGTTTCAGTGACCTTCGTGGGGCGAGCAACGACGAACTTGCTCTTGGTTCTTTGAGTCAAGAAAGGAGATAGCAATGCATTAAGTGCATAATACCAGAAAGGAACATTTATGAAGATCTGCAGATCATCATAAACCATATAAAACCCGTCAAAATTCTGTCCAAGTCATGCTAAATAATCGCAAATAAATTCGATTTCTGAAGCGAAAATGTGAAAGACGGCTTACATTTTTGGCAACCAACTCAGGGTAGTTGTCCTGCAGAAGCCCAACTGCTTGCTTTGTGGCAATCCGGAGCTCCTTCTTCACCGGCCCCGGAGAGTTCTTGAGGTCGTTGATCTGAAGCAGAGAAGTGACACCACCAGGCCTCAGATCAAGCTTCTGTACGCTCTTCTCCATCAGCTGGAGCCTCCACCTCAGGAACTGCCCTCTCTTCTCCTCATTTCCAAAAGTCTTCTGATAAAGCTCCTCGTTGTCGAATACCCCGAAAATGTTGTAGCAAACGGGGTGGCCTTCGCGATCAACGCCGTTCAAGTAAGCGGCAGAGCTCAGATCGGCACAGACATCCTCGTCCAAAATCGAATCGATCTTGGACTCCTTCCGCCATTGAAGGGTTTTCTTCAGCATCTCGAAAGCCTCATTGACCTTGAACTCCCTAGCCCTTAAGAACTTCAAGAGAACAACATCAGTGCCCTCGAAACCCTTACCGGGAAAAAGTGGCACTCCCCAAAGAGAGATATCCTTGTCTACTACTTCACAGCCATCTTCCGATTTCTTCACCTCCTCGCCTTCTTCCGCTTCCTTCTCATTCTCTCCAGCTACTTCCTCCGCCTTTTTATCAAATACCTCCTGTGGTTTCTCTTCCTTCTCCTCCTCCTCCTCCTCCTGTGTTTTCACTTCCTCCTCTGTTTTTTCTACCTCCTCCGTTTTTACTACCTCCTCTGCTACTTTTTTTTCTTCCTTCTTTGGCTCCTCCTTCTTGAAGATATTGTTGCCCAAAATGGCCTCCTCCAGCTTTGATTTCAGCTCGCTCAACGCCTTCTTCTCGAACTCTTTCAAATCAGAGAGATAGTTGCTCTCTTCCTTATAAGAAGAACTCTTCTCAACCGTTTTCGGCTTCGATTCCGCCGCCTCCACTTCCTTCACCTTATCATCTCCCTCACCAACCTTCTCATTCTCACAAACAACCTTCTCAGCCTCCTCCCGAGGAACAACCACAACTTCCGCAACCTGGGTCTCCTCCACAGTCATTTTCTCGATCAACCCGAAAATCGAATCACCCGAGAAAATGCAAGAAAATCCCAGAAAGCAAGAGAGATAATTGGTTGCTCTGTTTGGGAAGAGAGAGAATTTTAAAGAGAGAAAGTCGCTTGCTCTGTTGTGAACTCGTGAGTTGTGGCGTTTAAGAGTGAGTGCGTTGTGGGCTTTTTGCCTGGGCTGTAACCGTTGTAACGGCTATATATTTTTTAAAATCCCCCCCCAATGTGGTAGCGGGACCCACAAACGGTCACATATCTGTAAAAGCCACCGGACAGGACAGCCGTTGGGTGCATTCTTCCACCGAGGGTGGGGGTTCTGATAGCCTGGATGCCAGCACAGATTTGGCGTTACAAGACTCGCTTTGGGCCCACTTTGGTCTGCGTTTTGCCAGTAGGGAATGATCGTGTGTGGTCAATCTCAAGTGCTTTAACCACATGGACACCAGTTATTGGCGGAGGCTACAAAAGTCATAGAACTAGGAAAGAATATCTTTTTCTTTGACCAATTCGTCACAAAAGGACAGACATTACCTGGCAAATTTTAAATTTTTTTTTTTAATTTGTTTTTAGTTTTTGTGGACGAATCCAGATCTTTTTTACGAGAATTTTGAGGATTTGTAAATCATGTTCGTTTATCATATATAGTGTGATCAATTTTTTAAAAATATTTTTTATTTAAAATTAAATACAAATAGTACTTGATAAAAACTAATCGTATAATATACGATAAACAAACATGATTCACGAATCTTTAGGATCATCACCAAAAGAAAAATGATCAAGAGAGGATCATGTTTGGTTTGTGGACCGCTAGATTTGCCTTTCCTCAATTGTTCATATTTTTCATGAATATTAATTATACAAATTAATTGGCATAATGTTTGGCATCTTCTATTTTTTTGGTGAATTAAGTTTAAGAAAATGACAACATTCCAGCTATATAATCTTTGATTGGTCCGTTTGTGATCATCAGCCATCTGATCGTATGATTGAATTTATGTTTTGTGTTTTTTTATTAAACTTTTAAATTTTCGTCTATTTTTTCCTTCTTAAAAAAGACAATTCAGTATGGACGAAAGTATTATTAAAATGATCTCATAACTTAGTGAATAAGAAGAAGCACCTATAGGATGGACGCAAGTATTGTCCTTCAAGTTACAAGTCCAGTCATCCGTAAAAAAAATTATTGGACTCATTTTTTTAGGACTTAAGTATTGTCGGACTATTATTTGCACATACAAAAAAATGGCTCAAAACAATAATAAAAAAGGAAATCTTATAGCGCATCATCTGGCAAGCTATCATTGGGTGATGACGTCCACCATCTTGTTTGATTTGGGCACTGCATGATTAGTTGGTTGAGCTGCAGCTGCATGTGGTAGATGATTTTGTTTAGGGTCATATGATCCTCTAATTGATAATTAATCCTAATTAGATGAGATTGTAATCTTGAATTACCTAATCTCATACATAATACATATTTATGATTTCTTGAAGTGTAAGATATAGCGTGATTTGGGTTAGCTCGAGTGGCGAGGGTAGGTGGGAAGGTAGGTTGGAATTAGGCAAATACTTCCACCCCACATTTTTGGTCTTCAATGAGTGTTGGCGAGGGTAAGTGGGAAAATACTTTTAAAATAACGAAAAGTAATTTTAGAGAAAATATTTTTGGACTCTATAAGCATTTGAAGTGCTTCCTGGAAGAAGCATTACAATCATTTTAAAATCATTTTCAAACGAGCACTTAGAAGCACCAATTATGTGCTGGTGCTTCTTCCAATAAGCACTTCAAATACTTTTTCAGAATTCATTTGTGTTTTTACTAAGAATTGGTTACAAAAACATATTCATCAAAAGCGCTTTCAGTCACTTTAAAATCATTTCCAAACGAGCTCTTCATTACTTCCAAAACACATAATATTAGCATGAATTTTCTACATTGAATACACCTTGATCACAGATACTCAATAAATCACTTCTCCAATAGTAGAGAAAAAATTAGCATACAAAATTTGAAGGTAAACCTCCCGAGTAGTTGAGTGCCGTTTCATAAAAACACCGGCCATGCTATTTCGCGACATGAAAACACCCGCCGGAAGTCAGGAAACTCACCGGATATCATTAATTACGACGACAGTGACAACAATAAGAACCATGTCATAGGTTACACCACTCACTTGTACTTGATCCATCTCCCCAGCCTCCGGATCCCGATTCCGATGGATTACAATTCCGTTGTCACATTTATTTCCGAAGTGTGCACTTCCACTTATATCATAGAGATTGGGAGGACCCCCGGTCCACTGGTGCAACTGTTACAAGAGATGCAATCTGAGAAACCACGTCAAAGAAAAGGGCATGGTCAAGCGCAACATAACCAACCTGTCTAGGATGCGCCACAAACCAAACACGGCAACAATGATGCTGAGCAAACCGTTTGATCTGAGTAAGCATCTGACTCACGTACTCTGTTTTGGTCCTGTTACAAGTAGAAGTTGTAGTAATCTTGTGAGTAGATGAAAAAAGGAAATATGGAATTAGGACTTATGTAACTACAATACAAACAATACCTAGGCGGGGGATTAGATGAACTCATCATATTATACAAGTAAATTTTGGCTTTATGTTTCTTCCTCTTCTTTGAGAGTCATGGGGTGTTCAAAAGAGACAGATTTTTAATCAGTTTAGTTTGGTATTTTGCCATACCAAACTGAAACCGAAATTTTTTTTTTTTTGAAAACCATCATATTATATCAAACACATTTTAAGAACAGTAACAAAGAATGTCAGCTCAAACTTGCCGTTTATCAAAGAAAGGCTTCTTTATGTGCTTCTCCAGTAATTTTCGCGCATGCTCCCTTACCTGAAATTCGTCAATGGGAAGGGTGTGATATGTAAGACACTAAACGGAGAGCAAAAATGCAACTATGTCATAAGAGAACACGGTAAAATTGATATGTGAATGACGTCTATATCAATTCCCACAAGTTCTATGCATGTGTGCAAACATTTCTCACAATGATCCGCTGTAAACCAACCAAACCAACTAACAAGGAAGGGTGCATATATGAGAAAACAGAAAAAATTTAACTCTTTTGGTAAGCTAGTTTACCTTGTCCTCCATAGAGCAAAAGGTCGTACCCAGTGCACAAGGCTCCCGCTTTAAGTAAGGTCTGGGAGAGGTGAATGTCGGCTAGCCTTACCCCCATTTATGGAGAGACTACTCTCAAGTCTCGAACCCGAGACCTACCGCTCATGGGCGAAGGCACTTATCATCGCACCAAGTGCGACCTCTATCAGATAAGGTCGTACCCAGTGCACAAGGCTCCCGCTTTACGCAGGGTCTGGGAGAGGTGAATGTCGGCTAACCTTACCCCCATTTATGGAGAGGCTGCTCCCAAGTCTCGAACCCGAGACCTACCGCTCATGGGCGAAGGCACTTGCCATCGCACCAAGTGCGACCTCTATCAGATAATTCTGCTAAATTGTCAAAAATTTATATACCTAGATCATGTAAGGGTACAAATTTCTCTTGAACCTCTTCACTTGAGTGGTTTACCTTACAATAATTATGTGTTATTTGACATATCTGCATGTTATCCATAAATCTATACCTAGACCATATAAGGGGGAAACGACACACAAACAGAGAAATTATTCAAATTCAGAAGAAGTATTATTTGTCACTAGAAGCGTCGAGGTTTATGCTTACATTGTACAAATCATTCATATTTTTCCACCCAGTTGAGACACCATACTCGTATCCAAGAGTCCGATGATAATATGCATTGAGTTTCATCAAAGAAATTTGCAAAATTGAACAATCCACGTATAGGATATAATTCAGCATCCTCAATTACTCCCTTCAAGACATCCGAACCCAAGTACATGAGGACCTGTGTAGATAAACTAAAAGAGATGGTAAGGATTGCTTTAGTGATCTGAGTAAAATATTACAATACATCTTAAATGACACGATCTTTTTCCGTTCAATGGAAGGTGCATGCTACAGACCATCACACAAGATGATGCAGAAGCAACACAATACGTATCAGAGGTTCGTTTGTTCATGCAACTTGATTAAGAATGATATCTAAAAAATGTGCTATTAAGTGGAGAAAAACAGAATTCACTAGGTTCAAACTTCAAATGGATCATATGTAGGAACATGCAACATGAAAAACCACCGTCATACCACAAAGCAACTCAATAAAAACTGATCACATGCATGTGTGTATATGTATTTCAAATGTCAAACATATATATTTATTTGGAGATAATACTAAAAATTCTATATTAAGCTAAATCCAAATCATTGGATTCGCATTATCTCTGACCTCATTTGCATCTTTGAAGTACTTGTTATCCCTTGACCAAAAAAAAAGAAGTACTTGTTATCATTTTTCTTTGGCCATTTGACTCCCCAACATCTGCAGTCACATGGGTAGCGGACAATTATTCTAACCACGCCTGCATAGAGATTGTTTAACAACAGGACATTGTAATGGAAACCTTTCTTTTCCAAGGCGGCGTGCAAGCTCTTTTCCTCTGAATCGCCACCTTTGCACTGCATATGAGAGGTCACTTCAATTTCACTCACATATCATTTCTTCTTTTACTCGTTTAAAAGAAAACCATGCATGCACGGTTTAAAGCAGTCTCATTACATCATGGCCGCTCAATCCCCTGAGTTTCTATCATTTAAATGCTAAAACACTGAAATTTTCAGGTATCAGCTTAATATCCTTCAATGACAGTTTCCATCTTTTTGGCATGATTTGCCCTTAAATGTTTCTCCAGTCCTTAAATGGGGAAATGTCAGCAGAGGCTTTCTTTGGTATTCTCAAAAGCCATCGTCAAGAAAGTAATTATTTTGGGCGATAGATCATGTCAACTACACATCCCACATGTCTCCTTCAGGTTGAGTCGCTCATACTAACACTATGGATTAAAAACAATACTGATAACTTATTTTACTATATACAATAGCGGTTACCTGTTTCTTATTGCTTTTTTTTTTTTTTTTTTTTTTTTTTTTTTTTTTTGGCTTCCTAAAACTAGTTTATAGGTAAGATGCCTAGCATTTAAGGAATGTTAGAACATCCTCGTGAGCTGAAAATGGAAGAGGATTCTATCCCCTCCTAATCTCTCTCCCCTTCCTTCCCCTCCTACTTGAACAGTTACGATTAAGCCACGTCAACATCTTATATTGATTTTTTATAGCGATAATAAGACAAAAAGCAAAGTGTGAGAGGAGGAGAGGGCAGGGGATGGAAATAGGAGAGGAGAGAATCCTACTCCACTTAAAATAACAAACAAAAATGGGACATATGCATAGGTTTTGACAATTACCATCCTACATATTCAATAGAACAACAACAATAAAGCCTTATCCCACTAAGTGGGGTCGGACTTTATGTATTTCTGAATCAGGATTCAGTAATTCATAAACTCCTAAACAAAGAAAGTAAAAAATATATGCTGAAATAAATACAACATAGCGTCAGAAGCAAAACTATCAGCATACCACTGGACAAATCAAGTGGTTGTACTGCCTCGGAACTGACATTGTTTCACCGTGTATGCCAAGATTCTCCAATTTCTCCTTCAAAATCCTCATTTGGATAGAGGACATTCCATTTTCTTCTGGTTTTTCCAATTCAACTACATAAAATTCAAAAGCATACAGTGCATTAAATTCAGAAAATTCTCATATCCTTCAACCCACACAGAAATGGTCCACCTGTAAGCACCATACGCACATTCTCAGTTAATTGACTTTGTTCAATTCTTCAGGTTTTTATTATGAACTTCAAAAGCACAAAAAATAAATAGTAAATTAGAAGAAACACCCCCACAAGGGCCACAACTATAAATTGTAGAGAAAACACTTATAAGAGCTACGATGGAGAGGGAAAACCCCCGTCATCTATCCACTTGCCATGCTTTAACTGATTCTTAGGGGTGAAATTCTTTTGGTGCTACAAAGTAAGTTGGGTTTTTTCTCCAAAGTACTGACTTTCAAGTGTTTTTCACCAAAATGCGATGTTACCAAGGTCTTACATGCAAAAAGCCAAAATTTTTAAAGCAGAATATAGCCGTCCTTCTTTACTGAGCACAAACTTACCAGGTTCTGCGACATGGGCAGGGGAGAGAGAAGAATATCCGTTAGTCCTTAAGCAAAGCGGTCGAATTTTTGACACGGGTTTCGAGGTAATCGGGGAGAAGACGAGGCTGCAGGGTGGAAGGGGTATCTGCGCGCAGAAGGGGTCAGCGGGTTCGGCAAAGGAGCGGACTTGAGGAGCTGCTTGGACGCCATTCGAAGGCCGGAGGTTGAGAAGGACAAGAAGGAGAGCTTGCGGAGAGGCCAATGGAGAAGAAGACGCATGTCTCCGGGAACTGGGTTGAGAAGATAGTGGGTTCCGAGTGTTTTTGTGGCGTTTCAACTCGGCTGGGTTTCCTGGCGGAAATACGAGGAGGGAAGAGGGAGGAAGGAAGAGAGCAAGGTTTTTGAGACGGGTTCTCTTTATTTAAAAAACATTTTGCACGTGCGGTAATTTTGAAAATCGAACACAAAGTTTTAATTTCTTCACATTAGTCGATTTTGTAATTGTATTAATTTATATTTTTTGTCTAACTAAAAATTATTTAAATTTTTATTAAATTAATAACATGGTGAGCATGAAACTCATAATGGATTGATCATGAAACTCGTCATTGGATTGATATGTAAGTTACATTTGCACTTCATTCCAAATCATGATGTTTGGTCAAGATTTCTGAATCATGTAGATGAGCATTCTCCTTTTAGTTATGGAATGAGTATCCTCTCCGGTTTGTGAGGATCCTGAAAATCCTTAAGCACTTACATTCATTGTACATCGTGCAGTCATAAATTATTGTAAATTTTTTTATTTAAAATTGAATATAAACAGTACCTAACGAAAACTAGCCGTATGATGTACGATAAACAGATGTGATTGGAGGATCCCGGGGATCCTCACAAAGACGATCTGGAGAGGATCCTCATTCTTAGTTATGAAGGTTAGAGAATTTTTATTATACATACAATTACCTCCATGATTAGGTAGTTTAACTCCAACGATGTCAAGAACACCTTCTCATGAGTACCTTTTAACCTAATCTAAGATCAAATACCTAATCACAAGACAACTGTCATGCTCATGTCAATGACTAATTTGCACTATTACAACGATTGAGTTCTTATTGACATAAGTATGTATATACATACAGAAGACCTCGAGGCGATCATGTTCAATGGACTTGATTTTATTGAACACCTATACACTTGTCTTAGCAACTCTCCTTTGGCTTAAGACTAGCCATGCATTACATCCTACAATTGCACAGACATAGTGCGTACTAGTCTTACCGGATTATAATCCAATGGCCAAGGATAATGTTTAGAATAAACACATAACAAGAGAATCTTTTTAACATTATCTCATAAGTTACCTCTTATATGTGTATATAACCGTTATTCAATGGGCTCACTAATGAATTGTATTGATAATCTACCTATAGTGGTCTTGCCCAATGATTAGATTATGGATTAATCCTTGTATTACTTTAAGCAATCCACTAATCTAGTTGCTTTAAGGGCATACATCTAACAAAGTAAATAAATTGTTTCATATTGCGATTAAGTAAATAATTAAGTAATTAATGATTAAGTAAATAATTTGTCCAGTGAATAATTTACTTATCACAATTTGATGGACAAGGAGGTGCGTCAAAAAAATCACTTTTCAACCAAGAACAAACTTTGGCATAGCCAAGTTGGCTAGAGCGGTAAACTCCTTTGTACCCAAGTTTAAATCTCATTTCTTGTTTTGTTCTAAAAATCTCCGCCTAGCGCCGCCTAGGTGCTAAACGGCTGACCACCGCCCCGATTAATGCCTAGGCATTTGAAAATTAAGAAATGGCACCTAGACCAGCTAGGGTGTCTGCCTAGACCGCCCAAACCCGCCTAGGCACCTGCCTAGGTTGCAACTCACTTAGACAGAAAATAGAAAGCTTTCAATTTGCATTAAGTTTTTTCAATAAATTGTAAGAGACTTATTGAATACTTAAATAAGCATACACTATATGCTTGTTCCCCATGTTTTCATTATGTTCCAATACTTCATAATACATGTGTCATTCTATTTTGTAGTTTATAATAAAATTATACATATTTTAAGTATAAACAGACACTTATTCACACGAAATATAATGGATTTACTTAAATCCGCCTAAGCGCTAGGCCCCAGCCCAACGCCCGACTAGCGCCTAGCGTCTTTTAGAACCTTTACATTATATGAATATCATTCAAATAATTAAAAGCCAGAATCAAGAAAGGGGCAAATGGAAGAAGCATGCATGTTCATAAACTGAAATAATTGTTGGAACTTCGGAATAAAAAGGCATACTTGGTTTAATTACAGAAATCAGGGTCCTAACAGATATCATGGTTTAAGCACAAAGTTAATCAGAAAGCTATCTGAGTAATGTACCTCTCATACATAAGGTGAAAACTAGTATATCTCGTCATCAGGGACATCTGGGGTCAAAAATTTTCTTGGATCTTTACTAATTTCCTCGTAACTCAATGTCGGCTTCACCTTGTCTGGGACAGGCACCAGAGGAATAATGCTATCTCCGTCGATAACTCCATCTATTATTCCATATTCAACTGCTTCTATGGGGGACATATATCGATCCCTGTCAATATCCTTTTGGACTTGCTCAAATGAACGGCCCGTGGAATTTGAAAGAATTTGTGTGACATTGTTTTTGTTATGCATCACTTCTCGGGCTTGAATTTCCACATCTATTGCCTGGCCACTAGCACCTCCAAGAGGTTGATGAATCATGATCCTTGTATTAGGCATCGCAAAACGCTTGCCTTTGGTGCCACCGCCAAGGATTATGGAAGCTGTTGATGCTGCAATGCCAAGTGCAACTGTGGAGACATCAGCCCTCACAAGCTGAACGACATCATAGATAGCCATTGTAGCACTAACACAAATAACAAGAAGGCAAATTAGCAAGCACATAAGAAGACAGCAAAACCATGAAAACATATACAGAAGAATAAAGTTCAACATGAAATTAACTAATTCATTGAGTTCTTCAAATAGCATCAAATGTATGTCTACATCCACCGAATTCAGTGTCTGTGAGCTACTAAGCTGTTCATTTGTGCCTTTACTCGTTAAGTACAGAAATTGTAAGGTCATACTAAATGCAAACAGCACCATCGAGGCATAACTATCATCCCCACTTTGACATCCCAAATGTGAATGGTACAGTGATCTTGTTTTAGCTAATGCCCCATAACAAATAACAAAGAACCAATTATGGCCAGCTAAAATCAGAATTCTATAACTAATATGCCTAATCTCATAACCCAACAGATTCAACAGTCCCTTCAATCCACATCAGTTCATAACTAAAGACAAGTGCTCTGTCACTAAACTCTAGAAACCAATGCCCAAATGGTAGGCATCCCAAAAGCACACTCAAATCCACAAGAAGCACAATAGTATTCGATAAATGGATAAATACAGGATGCCAAAGCACACAACTCAACCTTGCCTCCCTAGAAAGCTATGCCAAATATCGATGCAAGTAGACAGTGGAGGAGTAAAAGTTCAATACACTCAGCCTCAGCCGTGTCCTTGCACATTATTCACCAAGAAATTGATACACCAAAATTAGACTTCCTCCCCTTACATACTATCACAAGTATTAACACTTCCATGAGAAACTGTCAAAACACTGTTGACAGCCCCACACTCAGCTGATTTTCGGATTATATTATGTCCACCACTCACATGGATACTAGACTTGGGTCTCAAAGATCCATGAATGAAAGACACTGACAAATCAAAGCCTAAGCAATGCATTTAGCATATAACTAGACCGTTACTTGATTATTAGGAGACAATAACTAGCATCAATGTGGAATGTTGCAATAGGAAACATTAAGAAAGAATGTGGGAGTGTACAATAAGTGTGTCATCAGCGCCTCACCAACAGGAACTCCCCTGCCTCACAACTGTAGTTATAAAAATGTCAACATGCTTTTTACTAAACCTAAGCCCAAAGATCTTCTATTTCTCTATTCTCATACAACATTCAAAGAGCAACATCTTGTCATTGTTATCGGTGTCATCGAACCAAAGCAGTCAAACATACAACTAGAAAGTGCACAATATGATTTAATGAGACATCCATAGTCTAATTCACCATGTTATCACCATATTAAAAGCTACACTAATTAAAGCAAATACCAAGTCTTTCGAAAACCCGAATTTCAACGAGTTAATAACAACGAAATCTAATTAAACAACATCCTAATCTGAAAAGGGTCTCATCCACCACTCAAAATCTCCACAACAAAATTGAAAATTTCACTGCTTTCAAACAACAACCAACAAAAAAAAGCTACCCAGATGCTAAAAAATCATGTATAACCTGAGAGAGCCGCCGGTGGAGTTAATAAAGAGCTTGATATCCTTCTTAGAATCCTGGGCATCCAACAAAAGCAGCTGGCTAATAATAGTGTCAGCCACAAAGTCATCAATGCTACTACCCAAGAAAACAATCCTCTCCCTGAGCAAAAGCCCCATGGCGTCGCCCTCGGCGCCTCTCATGGCGGTGGCCGGCGTTTGAGGGGCGGAGGAAATCAGGAGAGAGCCGTCGAGCCCCTGGGACCTGGTGGCGAAGGTGGGTTTTGGTGTTTGGAGGGAAAGGGATTTGATTGAGGGGGTTTTGGGAGAGGAATTGGGGAAGTAGGAGGTGGGTTTGGGGCGGGAGGAGTGAGAGAGCTTGGAGGTTGGGATGGGGAGGAACGTAGGGGATGAGATTGAGAGAACGTCCATGGCTGCTCAGTTGGGCAGTGCTCTGAGAGCAGAGAGAGAATTGGGCGTTTGGATACTTGATAGAGGAAATGAGGGAAGGTCTTACAAGACGAGCCCAATTGGATCCCTTGGGATTTATTTACATTTTTCCCTTTTTATTTTTATTTCTAAAAAGTAAAACGATCCTAAATCGTTTATATACGATTTATTGTTTGTTTATTGTTTTTCAATCTTATTTTTGATACAATTGTATTAGGGGAGGAAGAGGTTGAAAAAGAAATATATAGATAAATGTTCTTAACTTATTGAGCTATTGCTTACGGGGATAAACGTTTTATTTCTAATTACAAAATTTTAGGGATTCTATTATAGTATGCAAAAATTTGACCTCAAGATTTTATGTAATTTCCACATCTTAAAGAAAAAGGTTTAAGTAAACATATTTGAGATGCAAATTGAACTACAATATCCAGATAACAATATTAACGGGATTTTTAGTTTGGAGATGCAAATTGAAGAAATTTAGTTAATCAAAATTCAGGGTTAGTGTAAGGGCTTATTTGGATATGCTTTTAAAATTACTGAAAGCGTTTTTTGAGAAAATGTTTTTGGGTTCCAAAAGCACTTAAAGTGCTTTTTGCAAGAAGCACCAATTTTGTGCTTCTTCCAGGAAGCACTTTAAGTGTTTTTTCAGGATTTACTTGCATTTTTACTAAGGATTGGTTCTAAAAACATTTTTACCAAAAGTGTTTTTAGT